CCTTAGTATTAGTATTCGTTTTCTTTGATATATTTGTTTTTATTATTTACCTTTTTTTTCGTTCCCTATTATTCCCCCTTTTTTTTTCTTTTTTCCTTCTCTACAAAAAAGTGTCATCAGTTTGGCGGCATTCTATTGTAGAGCGAGAATCTTGACAGGGCGAACAACAGCCAGCCAGTGAGTCTGAAGAAATAAGTCCAGAATGAGTTCTGGATCTCTGGAGAAGGCCAAGTGTTGCTAGTCAGGTCACATCTGGGCAAGACACAGCGGTTTAATGGTTCGCCTTGACTACAAGTGGATGTTTCAGCATCTGCGAAGTACGCTGAGGGTGAGTTTACTCTTTGGTTGGAACACTTATAGATTTTAGATTTCTTCATATGCTGATATAGGAATGAAAGTCTGTTCCTATAATAAAGTAAACAGGATTGCTGAAGAAAAAAAAATATTATTATAATTATTATTACCAAAGGATGAAATTAAAGTATTAATAGAAGGTGACAAGTTATCTGACCTAAAACCTGATTCGACTAAACAATGGGTTAGCCAATTACAGAACGTGAAGCAAAAGCTGATTTCGGCTATTATAAAAAAATTACCAGGATATCGGCACTATTCTGACATGATTGAAAAAATTTTAAAACAATATCATAAGATGTGGTATCGAATAGCAACAATAAATGCTGATCTAAACTTAAAGGCCTATAATTGCGTCAAAATGGAGAAAAATAGTAAGGTGAATAAGGTAAGCATAATAAAATTTGTCATATAAATTATTTTTTAAATCAATTCTAGAGTTACTTGACTAACAAATCATTTACCTGATAAATCGGTAAGAGATTACTGATATATTGGGTAAATGATTTGTTCTTAGCCCACAAATCATTTACCTAATATATCGGTAATCTCTTACCGATTTATCAGGTAAATGATTTGTAAGTGAAATATAATAATTTAAATTACTGTATTATAGAAGAGAAAAAGGAGACAAAAAGCATTAATGTATTTAATAAAGGCAGGAAATAAAAGCATAAGGAGATATTCATAAGAAGACTAAGAGATCTTAACAAAAAGCAAAGGAGAAAATGCCTATCATTCTGATGAAGAGTGGAAGACAGATGAAGATCAGTTGAAGGACAGTGAGAAGATTAAGAAGTTAGTTTGTATTTATCAAAAAAATGCTTATTGTGAATAAAAAAACATAAGGATTTCAACTGAAATTTTGTGATATTTATAGACAAGAAGTATCTTTATTTGAATTAATAGCTAAAAAAGACTTGGCAGTTTTCTGAAAAAGAAAAGTACTATGTTCTATCAAGCATCTGTTGAAGGTGTTTTTCTTCTTTAGGCTTTAGCAAGTTGTTTGCTTTACACATAACCTTAATATGCAATATATGACTACTCTGTATAAAATGAACCTTCTGTCTTTCACAAAGGATCTTTTAATGAATATTATAATAATTAGATTTTGCAAAAAGATAATAATCATAAAGGCATAAAAGGAAGAAAATAAGGTTGAAATTCTCCTTTGACCATCAATATCATCTGACCAAAACCTAATCGAGAATGTCTGGGGTTATAAAATAAATCTGACAAAAAAACAAATTAGAACCCTTAAAGGTTTAAAAGGCAAAATAGCAAAAGAATGAAACTTCTTACCTAAGGAATATGTAACTAAATTAATTAGGAGTATGAAAAGTAACATCGAAACCCTAATTGAAGCTAAAGACAATTATACAATGTGTTAATTATTATATACTATTTTTTATTTTTTAATAAAAAATTTTTATCTACTATACATCCTTGCTGAGCTAAAGGTGCAAAAAACTTTTATTAAGTACTGTATCACTATAGTAATTAATTACAATACTCTTTATTTATATATTTATTAACTTATTTGCCAATTAGCAAATATATATTACTATTATATCTTTCCTTATTATACTAACACAACCATTACACTAATTATCACATTCTTCTATCACATTTTTTTTACTTATCACCTCTTTTCTACCAAATTTTTAACAAACTTTTTCTTAATATCTACAATCATCGAGGAGTAACTCTTTCCGTCAATCACTTACACAAAATTTAACTAAAAATTTGCCAGTCAAAAATTGTTAATAACACATTATTTT